TTTGGGTATTTTTGGGCTGGTTTTTTTGCCATTTTTGGGTATTTCTGTGTGGTTTTTGGGGTTTTTGGGTATTTTTGTGTTACTGACCCCTCTCCCCCCAGCGTGCACGCCCGGGGCCGTGCGGGCCGAGGGCCGGGGGCTGCTTTGGGTTGGTTTTGGGTTGGTTTTGGCTGTTTTTGGGTATTTTTGGGCTGTTTTTTTGCTGGTTTTGGGTATTTTTGGGGGGTTTTTGGGTATTTTTGGCTGTTTTTGGGGTGCTGACCCCTGTCCCCCCAGCATGCACGCCCGGGGCCGTGCGGGCCGAGGGCCGGGGGCTGGTTTGGGTTGGTTTGGGCTGGTTTTGGGTTGGTTTTTTGCTGGTTTTGGGTTGGTTTTTGGGTATTTTTGGTATTTTTGTGTTACTGACCCCTGTCCCCCAGCGTGCACGCCCGGGGCCGTGCGGGCCGAGGGCCGGGGCTGCTTTGGGTTGGTTTTAGCTGGTTTTGGGGTATTTTTGGGTATTTTTGGCTGTTTTTGTGTTACTGACCCCTCTCCCCCAGCGTGCACGCCCGGGGCCGTGCGGGCCGAGGGCCGGGGCTGGTTTGGGTTGGTTTTTTGCTGGTTTTGGGTTGGTTTTTGGGTATTTTTGGGTGGTTTTGTGTTACTGACCCCTGTCCCCCAGCGTGCACGCCCGGGGCCGTGCGGGCCGAGGGCCGGGGGCTGAGTTTGGGTATTTCTGTGTGGTTTTTTTGGTATTTTTGGGTATTTTTGGGTATTTTTGTGTTACTGACCCCTGTCCCCCAGCGTGCACGCCCGGGGCCGTGCGGGCCGAGGGCCGGGGCTGGTTTGGGTTGGTTTTGGCTGGTTTTTGGGTATTTTTGGGCTGGTTTTTTTGCTGTTTTTTGGGTTTTGGGGTATTTTTGGCTGGTTTTGTGTTACTAACCCCTCTCCCCCAGCGTGCACGCCCGGGGCCGTGCGGGCCGAGGGCCGGGGGCTGCAGCCCAAGGGGCTCCGCGTGAACGAGGTCGCCGATTTCAAGGTGCACACCAAGGGCGGCGGCAGCGGCGACCTCAAGGTCACCGTCAAGGGACCCAGTGAGTGCGGGGGGGTCCCGGAGCTTGGGGAGGGGTCCTGGAACTTGGGGAGGGGTCCCTGAATTTGGGGAGGGGTCCCCGGGTTTTGGGGAGGGGCTTTGAGGGGGTTTTGAGGGGTTCTGGGCAGATTTGAGGGGGATTTGGGGACCTGGGGAGGGACCCAGTGAGTCTGGGGGGGTCCCGGAGCTTGGGGAGGGGTCCCTGAATTTGGGGAGGGGTCCCCAGGTTTTGGGGAGGGGCTTTGAGGGAATTTTGAGGGGTTTTGGGGGGGTATTGAGGGGTTTTGGGCGGGTTTGGGGACCTGGGGAAGGACCCAGTGAGGCTGGGAGGGGTCCCTGAATTTGGGGAGGGGGTTTCTAAATTTTGGGAGGGGGTCTCTGAATTTGGGGAGGGATCCCTGAATTGGAGGAGGGGTCCCCAGGTTTTGGGGAGGGGCTTTGAGGGGGTTTTGAGAGGTTTGGGGGGGCTTTGAGTGGTTTTGGGGGGATTT